AGATAAACAACTATCAGATCCATGGTTTCGTAACCATGCTCTGATACCACTGAAGGAAAATTTCAATCAAAAGCGCAGCGGAGTTTAAAATTTTCCTTTAACGATCCTTACGAATGAGCATGGTCAGTGATAGAAATATTTACCTCTTGTGGCGATTCAGACCTTTGATGTTGTGATCACGAGCGTTGATGAAGAACAACACCTCTATTCAGTCCACACGAACAGATCGCTTCCGGTCCCAGTGCTAGCTGATCACGAACGGAAACCTTGAGTGAGAGAGAGAATCAAAAACGAAATTGCATCAAATGAAATTGCTTCATCACAAGGGATCTATTTATAGAATCACTCGTGTGGGATACAAGCTAAAAGCCCAATTAAGGCTATAAGCTAAAAGCCCAATTAAGCTTATAGACATCATACCTTATGATGTACCATATATCACTTATCCACGTGGTACCTTACCACTTTCCGTATTACACTTAAGTGCACTGTACCTTACGGTGTTCCTTATTTATTCTATCTCTCATCAACCTGTCCTTATGTGTGTGACCCTGTAGGTTTTCGCGACGTTGGCAATTATATTAAATCACACATTTAATATAATAAACAGTGAGCGGTATCTAGCAACACATCACGGTTACCCAAGTCATGAAAATGTCATGTGATCTGACCAAACCTTTTCCGTGATAATATTTGTGTTGTACAATTACCCTTTTGCCCTCATGTCTATATTGAACACAAGGCATACACTGTGTCACCCTTGTCCAGTTCAATATTGGGCCCTTAGACATTTATCCTGTTATGCAGGATGAGCAAATTCCATCTAGGTCACTCATGTCCCTTAGTATGCTTTGTGAAGTACCCATCAACCGTCTTTATAGTCATCCAGTTATGGATGACGTTTGATCAGTAATAAAGTACTTGACTCTACATCTAGGGTCCATAGTGGTTTCAGGTCGAAGGGTGGTATACACCATTATCATCATGAGAATAACTTATGACACCTTGCATAACATTCTATGTAGTATTCTCATAGCGGGTCAATCCAGTATAAATATTACTCCTAATATTCATACCTATGTGTTGGCTGAAGATTTTGATAATATTATTAGAAGCAAAGTAAATTGGGCGTTTCGATCGAAATGAAATAAAACGTCATATTTCGAAATAGTAGAAGCAGTGTTTCGAATGAGCATATCAAAGCTTGGAAGCTTCGAGTGGAAACTGTGAGAACATATCTAAAGAAGTCTCGAAATGATAACAAGGCTGTGTCTAAAGAAGTGCGTTCGAAGCGAAGAAGTGCCAAAACATTTGAAATTCAAATGCAAGCGGGATGTTCGAAATTTGAAATATATGCGCTGGAGCATTCGAAGACACGTGGAAGTAAGAAAGAGGCATTGTTCTGCATGTTCTGAACGTGGCAGAATCTTATAGCAAGACCGTTATGGTCGAAGTAGTATAAATAGAAGTCTTAGTATTAGGATTTCGGGTGTCATATCTATTGTACTAAATACTCAGTAAACATTCAAATTACCACATGGCTAGGGAAACGAATGCAAGAGCAATGTACGTATGATAGCACCACATGTTTATGATTTAATGAAAACCCTTTATCATTTCCAGTACTTTCCTTTATCTTTCTGCCAAATACCATTTACAAGTTTTCTCATTTAAAGTCTTTTTATTCGAAATCTTTTCATTGATGCCTTACATTTAAATGCTTTCTTTCCATTTCAAACACTTTACATTTCAGAAAACTGTCATACTCTTCATGCCTTTATCTTCAAGTTTTATCCTTCGAACGCCTATTTTTACTTAAAGTCATTTTACAGATTTCTTGCATCAAACGCTTTCTTCGCATTTCGAATCTTTTACATTAACTGTTTTGTTTTACGTTTCAAAGCCATTTAATTATCTTTTATGCAATTTTACATGTCTTTACAATTAACATTTATTCATGCAATTTAGTTTCGCCCACATATATTTTGATTACACCTTTAGATCTTTAAGAGAGAAATCGAAATAAGTCAAACACATACACAACACTCTAAATACCAACCATGAATACTTGTTCGATCGTGAGAGTTACCCTAATGACCAACAAGTCCTAGGATCAATCTAGTCGATCCTGCGAGTTACCAGAGAAATTGAATAACAGTCAGTAAGTTTATTCGATAGTTTGGAAGACTAGCGGTTGTTTACCAGAAATCACTGGAAACACTATGTCAAGACTTGATAACTCCTTATCTATGATCCATGAGATGTGATCATCAATCTATCTTCATAATAATCTTAATGCTTTAATGTTATCCCACTTCACATTAAAGCTTGACTACAGATACTTTAAGAATAATGTCTTATGTTTAATGGGATCTCATGATTAAGTCACACTTAACATTTCATTAAACCAATAAACCATTCTAGGGACTTTATTATTTTGGAAAGCAAACATAATAAAGAAATGCCTTTTATTATTAATAAATAATTCGATACAAGTGTATTGGCCTCTAGGGCTTACACCAACAGTCCGAACAGCATACAAGGTCCAATCCAATCATGATGTAGGTGAAGGCCAGTAAGAATGAGGTGGCCTTGACTATGTCGGGAAACGACTCCACCCTTGCCCAAAGACATGCCCTCTAGGCCTCCCTCGCCATAGGACTGTCGAGGAGTGTTAACGGCTCCCAGGAGGTCTTGACGGGCACCCTCCTCGTAGGGCAGACGTCCACGTCTCCGAATGTCTCGGAGTCATCTTGACCCCAAAAATACCGCAACCACGTCCTCCTAGTAATTTGGAGCAATCCACTTATGAGGGAGACCACGTGCTGATCCCTACTAATGTAGATCCTGTCAGTCTTCATTTTAGGCCTGCTCTATCAGCCCAATATGAAGACCTTGACTCAACGATGAGGGCTATAAATACCCCCTCATTTGAGAGAGTCAGGTATTCATTCATTCTAACTCACCTACTTTAGTTGCTCTTGCTCTGAACCTCACTTTGACATCAGAGTGTTTTGCAGGTACCCCGTTCATATTCAATCGCTGCTCAACTTGAAATACGTAGACTTTGACGATCTCTTCTAATGAGGTATGATCAAAGGTATTTGTTGAAATGTCGTGAGTTTACTTATGTTGATTTTGAATATAACTCGTTTATAATTGTCGTAACATGTTTGCAAATAGATATTATTTGTTGATAAAATGAGATATGTACTAGTTCATTAAGAATCAATTATTTTGCAATTATTTATAAAATGTGATTACAAATGATGCTTATTTAATAATACAATGAGTTTCTTCCTCACATGTACTTTGCTCCTTATTACTTTTTAAAGCATTTGTATTCCATTTTTGTTCTACTTTATTTTCCTTTGTCTATGATTTCTGCAGAAGCCGATTGTTGGGGCCGAAAATCTATGTTAATACCTATGAATTGTCATACATCTACTGAGCATTGTAAATAAATCGTGTATATATATATATATATATATATATATATATATATATATATATATATATATATATATATATATATATATATATATATATATATATATATATATATATATATATATATATATATATATATATATATATATATATATATGATATCACCATCTGATTAAATTTCATAATGGAAGAGCTTTTTGTTTAACAGTTGCTAATTTAGGATGACATTATAAAATTATATTATTTGGTGATTGAAATAATGGACCGTGAAACTGAAAAATGTACAAGAAACAAAAAGAGGCAGAAGCAATTCTGTATGAGAAGAAGCCAGAGGCAGAAGCACATATAATATTGACAGATCCAACATTTTATGCTAGAAAGCAAGCAACTGGAGTAGATCTATATGCAAAGAAAAAGGAGGCAGAGGGGATTAGGCAGAGGCTTTTGGGAAGGGTTGAAAGGAGAGAGTGAAAGTGAATGTGAGAGTGAAACAAGAGATTGAGAACTGATTCGAGCATTGGAAACAAGAATCAGAGAGTTTGAGAAATCATGTTCGTCTGTGAAAATTTTTGATGGGTTTGAGAACAAGTGATTTTTTGAGAAACTTAAGTCAAGCTTGGTATGTACTTCTTCTCCATTTAGCGAATTTTGTAATGTTTCAATGATTGAATGTGATTTGTCATTGGTTGTTATTTAATTAGCATCGATATCTTTATAAAAAGTGTTTTTGTGAACACCTCCTGCTCTGACACTTGTGAAAAATTAGGGATGTCACCATATCAATATTGAGGTCATTTTCTGGTCATTTTGGTCATTTTGGGATGGTCAATCATTTTCGGATGATCTGTGCTTCATAGATTGTTACCAAACAAAATTTGTCTGTCTTTAATATTGTTGAATGATTGCGGATTTCCCTAACAGATTTACCATTATCTATGAAAGTTTACCTGGGAATTTTCTATTATCTTAGGAAAGTTCTAGAGATTTTAATTAGGAATATATAATCCACAAGAAAAACGGAGTATTTCTAGTGATACCTTTTATCATTAATTTGATTTGTTTTGTATTTTGTCCAAATTGGAATCAATTATATTTGATTAATTTTTACTGATATTTTGACACCAAAAAAAGTTACTAATAATAGAGCTCCTTAAAATCTTGATGATAATATACATACCAAACATTAACAAAGCAGTATGGGTTCGACAAACCAATCTAACCGCAATTATTTTTACAACAACTCGAATTAGCAACTACAATCTCACTCACATACATAGATATAATCATAACAAGAAATCAAAACACAGGACATAGTCGTCACATATGGTTCCATACACCTGCAATAATAGATAGAAGAAAAAGAAAGTTAGAAATAAAATATAGGAACAACTATAACAAAATGCAATTATTATTATTATATTATTGTTCATCTATGTTCTAAGAATAAAGTTGAATTAATCTCTAATATCATAATCATGTAAAACATTGATAAAAGGATCATAAAGCAAAACAAAATTTTAATTAAATACCTCAAGATGAGTAGTTGAGATCTAATCACTATCACTGCTGCTGCTATCATGGCCATGTTCATGGCCCTCCTCACGTTTCTTCCTCTCCTTCTTTTTCTTCTCACCTGCTCCACCTCCACCATGGATCTTGTCCTTGATCTTGTCAACAATTCCTTCCTTGTGCTCTCCCCCTTGGTATTGATCTGGTTTGTGCTCAGTACCATGTCCATATCCTCCTACAACACCATGTTGTTCTCCCTGGTGCTCAGTACCATGTCCATATCCTCCTACAACACCATGATGTTCTCCTTGGTGCTCAGTACCATGTCCATATCCTCCTACAACACCATGTTGTTCTCCTTGGTGCTCAGTACCATGTCCATATCCTCCTACAACACCATGTTGTTCTCCTTGGTACTCAGTACCATGTCCATGTCCTCCTACAACACCATGTTGTTCTCCTTTGTGTTGTTCTCCTTCTTTCTTGTCTCCTCCTATATGAAGGGCATCACCAATCTTGTTCAAGATTCCTGCCATTTTCTATTTGTCTGCGTTTCTTTGGTTTGGTTTGTATTGTTTTTGATTTTGTTGTGATTCTATTGGAGATGATAAAAGGTATTTATAGGCAGAGAAGTGAGAGGCAAAGAACAAAAAAATAGTAACATATAAAATGTTATCCACACCATTTATGTTGAAAATTACTATAATGACCGTGGACGTGTATTCTATACGTGTAAGTGTATCATGTTTCTAAATTGGAATATCGACATGCATTAAACAAATCATCTTACTCTCTCCAAATTGCTAGGTTCATTAATTCTTATGCTCTTAGAAAAAGTAATTAATTTGAAACTCTATCCAAAAACAAGTAAAGTTTGGTCAATATTCGTTTTAATTAACAATTCAGCTCAAATTCTTTTCAATAATTTATTTTTAATTAATCAATTTTATTATTATTAGAGTTTAATTATTTTGTTAATTATAATACTTCCTCATGTCTCTAGTTCTCTTCATTATCTTCTTATCAACTACTACTAGTATTTTTTATTCTTTTGGGAAATTCTCTCTTTCTTTAATAAGGCAGGTAAAAAGTAGATCCAGTTAGTAGGATTTCTAACTAAAGTGAAAAAGGATAATTAATGGGAAGCAAGGGAGGTGTAAGCGGACATAACTTTGACAAAATTCAAAAAGCATAATATTTCCTCATTTGATTTTAGTGCCTTCTATATTTTAAAGAGAGTAAATTCAAATATGGAGGATAAATACTGCAATATGGTAGAAATAAAATGGTATATTATAATTATATTTACATTAAAAACATTATAGAAATTATTCTTTTTCTTTACTTAATTTTAAATATGAAGGAATTTTAATAATTTAGAATTCAGTAAGAAAAAATTAATTGAATTTAATCAATAAATATTTTATTAAAATTTAAATTCTTTTAAAGAATTACTTTTAATTAAAATTTATCATTCCTATTTATTTAAGAATTAAACATATATCATTTGAGGTTCTGGATTTAAATTATGTTAAAAAAAATTTTAAAAATTATAATTTTTTAGAATCATTTTCAACTCAAATAATTAATCTATATAATTTTACACATAATATATTATATTTATAATTTAAAAATGTAGTATATATCAGATAAAAAAACCACTTTTATAACATGTATGTTTGAGATGTATATCTCGGATAGATTATTAAGAGGCTCAGATCCAAATTAATTCAACGCACTAAAATAGGTTCAATTAGGCAAAGTTCAAAACACATCTAAGGCACTCAATCCAAATCGGCCGAAAGAGCCAGAAACAAAAATACCAAAGGTATTTGATACCTTTTACGAATGTCAAGCAAAAAGGAAAAAAGAGAACCACAATTATGATAGTCATAAAGAGGATTCAATTATTTCATTAATTATTCGATACACTATAAATAAGGCAAGCAATTCTAAAAACACTAGAATCTACTAGCATTGCGACTTCTCTCGGCCAACTCCGGAGAAGTTATCACATTGTTCTTCAAAAACAGTTGGCGTCCACCTGTTTCCAGTGATTTCTGGTAAACAACCGCTAGTCTTCCAAACTATCGAATAATCTTTCTGACTGTTATTCAATTTCTCTGGTGACTCACAGGATCGACTAGATTGATCCTAGGATTCCTTGGACATTAAGGTTACTCTCACGATCGAACAGATATTCATGGTTGATATTTGAGTGTTGTATATGCGTTTGGCTTATTTCGATTTCTCTCTCTAAAAGTCTAAAGATGTAATCAAAATGCGTGTGTGAAACTAAGTTACATGAATAAATGTTAATTGTAAAGACATGTAAAATTGCATAAAAGTCAAGTAAATGGTTTCGAATTATAAAACAGTTAATGTAAAGGATTTCTGGAACGTAAAAGGTTTGAAATATGAAGAAAGCGTTTAATGCAAGAAATCTGTAAATGACTTTAAGTAAAAATATGCGTTCGAAGGATAAGACTTGAAGTTAAAGGTATGGAAAATATGACAGTTTTCTAAGATGTAAATTGCTTGAAATGTGAAGAAAGCATTAAAATGTAAAACTTTGAAGAAGAGATTTCGAAGTGAAAAGGCTGTAAATGAGAAAACTTGTAAATGTTATTTGACAAAAAGATAAAGGAGAATGCTGGACATGATAAAAGGTTTTCATTAAATCAGAAATACATGGTGCTATCATACGTACATTTCTCTTGCATTCGTTTCCCTTGCCATGTGGTAGTTTGAATGTTACTGAGTATTTAGCACAATAGATATGACACACGAAATCCTAATACTAAGACTTCTATTTATACTAATTCGACCATAACGGTCTTGCGATAGGATTATGCCACGTTCAGAACATGCAGAACAATGCCTCTTTCTTCTTTCCACGTGTCCCCAAATGCTCCAGCACATAACTTTCAAACTTCGAATGTCCCGCTTCCATTTGAATTTCAAATGCTTTGGTACTTCTCCGTTTCGAACGCTCTTCCCAGACACAACCTTGTTGTTATTTCGAGACTTCTTTAGATATGTTCCCATAATTGCCACTCGAAGCTCCAAGTTTTGACATGCTTATTCGAAACACTGCTTCTGCTACTTCGAAACATGACGCTTAACCTCATTTCGATCGAAACGTTTAATTCATTTGGCTTCTAATAACATTATCAAAATCTTCAGCCAACAAATTGCCCCTTTAAAATATGTATTTCGATTCCTCTGAGAAATACCTATTTTAAACATCTACACAAGATTTTGATGTGACTTTCGAATCATCGTAACATTTAATGCATTTGACTCCAGTCACGTCAATCATAGCACCTTTTGGATTCCTTAACCGCCTGGAGCCACTTCACAGTATGGTGCAGTTACAAATAATGATTATCTTTAAATCACGCCTATTACCCATGTTAACTTTACGCCACCTCTTCATCACACCAACCCATGATTTCCACGTATCACACCCTTATTCAGTGAATGCTTAAACTTCCCCATTATAAAACATCACCAACTTAATCTTTTTCTTTTCTTTTCACACTCTAAATCTTTTACCCTCCTTCTCTCGTCAAAAACCCAAGCTTTTAACATCTTTCAAAAATGTCTTCTTCTACTTCATCCCAACTCAAGAAAGTCTCCAAGAAGAAAGGAAAAACTGCAGGAACTACCATGGAAAGTAAAATCATCACTCACCAAGGTCAATCCGTTCTTGCCCCTCAGATGATTTCAAAGGAAAAAGAAATGTTGTATGCGTCACAGGTACTCATTCCTACCAACGTTGCTGGTAAGAGGTTAGCTTTAAATGGCCCTCTTACGGTTTTTGAAATATTAAAAGACACCAGGACGATTTTCCCAGTTTGTTATAGTTTTAAACCCTTATTTAACAAAATGGACGCCCCTAAGGCAGTAGAATCTTCTAGTTCAAATACCATAGAAAACCCAATTGTTCCTCCTAAGGACCCCTTTGTATTGGATTATGTAAAAAGTAATTTTAAGCCATTTCGATCTTGCCCCACCTCTGATATTGCTTATCAAAATTGGTTCAAGAAAGTAGAAGCTAAGAAATCCCAGCAATGGGAAGAATTAGGTATCTATAACCTGATTAAGCTATCGAAGGCTGGTTTCACCTACAGCCACCCTCTGCTACTCGCGTCCCTCTATTTCTGGGACAGTACCTATAACACTTTCCATCTCCCAGGTGGAATGATCACCCCAACCTTCTTCGACATAGCGGCCATCACTGGGCTATCGCCAGTGGGAGAAACTTATGTACCCGACAACGAAGAACATTCAAGTATAATTGACTTCGAAGTCAAGCTAGCCAGTTTTTCCAAGTTTATCAGTCATTACCATGCTGAGGAGGACACTGTGTCTGACGTAGAGCACATTGCTTTCTTAGCCCTGTGGCTGTCAAGATACGTTTTCTGCAGTAGATCCCTACAGGTAGCTAGTAGGTTCATTCCTCTAGCTAGGGACTTGCATGAAAATCGAAAAATGTGCCTAAGTGAACTGCTCTTAGTTGACCTTTATGAAAGCCTGAGGTCAGCTGTTTCGAGCCTCAAATCCCACACCTCCAAAAATATTCTGTTGGCTGGCCCTTTTTGGTTACTCCAACTATGGCTAAATGTCATGTTCGAACCCTCCTTATCAACCGCCAACACCATTGATGAGCAAGATTCTGAGATAAATGATAGGATAGTCGAAGGCACTAGGCTTCGAAGATTAACTCCCAATGACGACAAAGATGACTTCAAAGTCCAATTCTTGAAGTACATCATGATATTCTCCAAAAGGCACAAGTTCGAAGAGAGCATGGCGACTTTTGCTTCGAGGGCTCATGGACCTTCTTGGTTCACCATGGCTCTCTCAGAAGCTATCAAGAGCAAGGGGATTCAGGATGTATGGAGAGCTTTTTTGCTACCTAGACTCATTTCTTCAAGAATAACTCCAGCCAAGAACCAGATTTTTCTCTTTGCCTACCAACCAAACTTTGTTTCGAGGCAGTTTGGCTTATGCCAACTGATTCCTGAACCTTTATTTCAAACTGAGAGTGCCATCACTTCTGGACGAACTTTCAAGTCACGGGAAGCCAAAATATAGCAAGAACAATATCAAGGCTTTGCCCAATTTGAGCTGATAACCTTCGAACCTACCCATCTCACAGCTAAAGGGTTTCTGGAATGGTGGACCAAGTTTTATCAAACTTATATGTTCGATACACTTACAATTCAACAGAAACTAATTGATGCCTTCGATGTGCAGGTACCAACAAAGAAAGGTATGTTTACTCATGCCAAAGAGATTAAAGCTTTCCATAATTATTTTGAAACTACTTATGACCCCACGCGCTTGGACTCCACTGTGCATCAAGCGGCTGAGACCTTGAAGGAAAAATTTAAACAAAAAGTTTCTAAGTTAAAACTTCCTTCAGGGCTGTCACCTGAGGATAGGTATAGGTTGGCATTCGAAATGCATCCACCTAAATTTCCCAGATTACCTACCTCAGAACTGGCTCTGACTTGGTTTCCCCCAT